AACTTTGACTACACATTTTTCTTAAACCATTAACTGCACAATTAAGAATTGGCAGGGTTGTTGGCGCATATTGACAGTTTCCCCCTCTTGTGACCGGCTTATTTGGTACTTCATGCACATTAGGCAACTAATAGCTTATACTTGTATTAAGTCCTGTCTCTCAAATGGTTCCTCACTCCTTCCTCACTGTGGAATACTGGAGGTTTTACAAAAGGTATATGGTTGCCAGATCATCATTATTATTATCACTCTTATTATTATTATTATTATTATTATTATTATTATTATTATTATTATCATTATCATAATCATTACTATTATCACTATTATCATTATTATTTTTATCATTATCTTTCTTTTTATTATCATCATCATTACAAGGTTAAGTGATTATAACACACACATACATACACACACACAAACACAAACATGCACATACGCATGCACTCACACACACAAGCATGCAAGCACGCACTAATGCACATACAAAAAAAAAAAGAATTGTTCATTTGGAGGGAGACAGGCCTCCAATCAAAACAAGTTTACTATTGAAACCACAATGTGAAGACAGAAAAACATTAGCCTTGCAGCCAAAAGGAATACCAAAAGATTATATAGAAATAGTTTATACAAATATAGATGGTTTATGTTCAAAGTTACTAGAACTAGACAGAATTACTGAAATTAATAAACCAGATGTAATATGCATCACTGAATCCAAACTAGATCCCTACATAGATGATGTAACATTAGGACTCAGACTATAATATATGGAAAAAAGATAAACATAATATTAACCACAGTTTACATGCCACCCTATAGATTGGTGTGATCACAAGAAAATTACCAAGTTATTCAAGAAATGTTAAAAAGCCTGGAAGTGATACAACTTTTGGAAACTAAAACAAATTTTTGTAACATGATTTTAATAGTTAAACTGACTGGGAAATTTTTGATTCCAGAGCTCAGCCATAGTTGATAATGTGTCTCATAGAGGACTATTATGGAAATTAAAACACCTAGGTAGAGTGAAAGGCAAACTTCTCAAATGGATGAAAGACTTTCTTCATGAAAGACAGATGAGCATCGTAATTAGAG